GTCCATTGCCATCATGGCAGCAGCATGCAGACAGACATGGTGCTGGAGAGGTAGCTGAGAGTTCTGCATCTGGATCTACAGGCAGCAGGAAGAGAGAGTGAGCCACTAGGCCTGATTTGAGCTTCTGAAGCACTCCCAGTGACATACTTCCTCCAACAAGACCACACCTACTCCAACAAGGTCATACCTCCTAAGAGTGCCACTCCCATGAGCCTATGGGGACTATTTTTATTCAAACCACCATAATTGCCCATTCTCGACTTTGTATTATGAAAATTCAAAGCAATGTCAGGTATATGCTATGCATGTGATCAAAGAAAAGCACTGAGGGCTGGTAATGAAGAAATAATAGTGTAATCATGCTGAGCAGAAAATGGAAGATGTGTAGAAGAAATGTACAACTAGTTCTAGAAATAACCAAGAGCTGATAGCTAGACTGTCCATCCATTCACCCAGCTACGACTGGACAGACTCCTAATACCTGTAATGTCACCAATTTCACAATTAAATAGAAGATGCTCCAGCAAGAGCAAGATTCAGACGCTGTAAGAGCATTGAGCACAGGAAAGAACGGCGACTCTAACTGTGTGGGACCCAGAGTTGTACCGCTGGTGTGGGGCATGCTGGGATATATTCATTGTTCTCTAAATACTTTAGGGATATGGGAGATAATGGTCATCTCTTAGTCTCCAGAGGTAGTTAATACAGTCCTCAAACCACAAGGACACATCAGCAGAACAGTGTCGCACCAGTTCCCCAGAGAGGACAGGCTCCTAGTTTTCGGGATAGGCAGCAAGGCTGAGGTCTTGTCACCATCAGGGATTTTCATCCGGTAATCTCTGTGTGATATTCAGAAAGTGGCCACTAGGTGGCAGCTGCGTGCCGTGAAGAAACGAACTCGACTCTACTTGGCGCTCAAAAGCCAAATTTCAGCAGACCCCTGTGCCAGCTAGAAGGAGAAGCGTGGGCACAGGATGGCTGCAGGTTGTTATTGAATCTGACCTCACCCACTAGCCCACATACAGAGGAAATGAGTGACTGTATTCTAAAAGGTGGATCTTAATTCATATGGATTAATTTAAATATGAAAACAGATGTTCAGCTCAGTTATTAAAAAAAAAAAACTTTTAAGTCAACCTGGGTATGGAATGGAAACAGTAGTATGACAACCTACTTCCTCATCTGTGAATTTTATGACTAGGTAGTTGCAATGAAAATACTGAAATTAAGCTTGGCAGTGTCACCCACTGAGTTTTGAAGACATCGTATGACTGCCACGGGTAAATATTCATGTTTTTCCACAGACTTCAGCCAACATACTGCTTTGCCATAAAAATGCATTATAAAATAACTACCTCAATAAAATTAATTAACCTCTGTCACCTCATAGAGTTACCATTTTGTATGTATTTGGAAAGATCTACCATCCTAATAAACTTGACATATACAATTTTTTTAAGTATTCCTATTTTTCATTAGTTATGCATTATCTTAAATTGATATGCTCTATTAAGTAAAGCATATTACTTAATATAAAGTAAGACTTAATATGAAGTTATTACTTAGTAGAAAGTAAAGTATATTACTAAAATAAAATTTCACCCTCTTTCCGTTCACTGCTTGGTTTGGTTTGGTTTGGGAGGTGCTGCGTCATTTACTAAAAGAAAACAAAACATGGGTGTAGCTGGAGTTTTCCTGCTTGGCCCACAGTCAGGACAAATCTCTCTCACCCGCCAGTCCCACAGCCACTCAGACCCGACCAAGTAAACAGAGACTTATATTGCTTACAAACTGTATGGCCGTGGCAGGCTTCTTGCTAACTGTTCTTACAGCTTAAATTAATCCATTTCCATTAATCTGTACCTTGCCACATGGCTCGTGGCTTACCGGCATCTTCACATGCTGTTTGTCATCGTGGCAGCTGGCAGTGTCTCTCTGACTCAGCCTTCCACTTCCCAGCTCTATTCTCCTCCTTGTCCCGCCTATACTTCCTGCCTAGCCAATGGCCAATCAGTGTTTTATCTATTGACCAATCAGCAACACATTTGCCATACAGAACATCCCACAGCACATGGGAGTGGAGATACACGGGGGCAGGACAGCCCTCTCCAGCCTCCTGCAAACTCTGGTCCTTTCTCTAACTGTCCCAGGGCCCTCCAGTCCATGCCTCTCCACAGGGGGATACTTCCCTTCTTACCCACCCAGGCATGTTTCCCTCTGGATTCAAACAATGGTGAGCTTCTCTGTTCCGCCTCTTCCCTCTCCTCCTCCACCTGCCTCCTCCAGTGGGCTTCCATTGTGACTGCAGAAGGGACCTTCCTATCCATTCATCCAGCCTTGTGCTAATCCCAGAGCTGATAGGGCAGGTTCTAGATTCTTCCAGGAGCTCTTACTTCTCAGGAACTAAAAAGGAAAAAATTTAGAAATGTAAGTGTTAAAAAGAAAAATATGTAGACAGTGGAAACAATGAGAGATTTTTTTTTTTTTTAATAACGTTGTTCCTTCCTTTTCTATGTTCAATGTGGGCAGCAGGCTCATGTGTGCCCCTGGCCAAGCACGAGGTCTCTAAGGAAACAGTAGGGTTAACGGTGACCAGGCAAATGAAGAACCAGAAAGGGACTCTGGGAGCAAAGACCAAAGGGACAGACTAGAGATCAAATTCTCCCACCTTGCTCCGCTTGTCTTCAAGAAGCTGACTCTACTCTAAGCTTTCTGGAAAGCGCTGAGCAAATGTTATTGTTCTGGTGACCCCCCCCCCCACTTCCCACCCCACTTCCCATCCCCCACCTAGGCTTTCCCACCACCTTCCTGGTTTCATTAGTCAAGAACCCTTCAGAAACTCCATAAATGACCTGGAACAATCGCTTCATGGGAGTCAGTGATGTTAGATTTTTCTTTTGAGTGAGAATCACAACTGAGCAAGGGGTACAGCTCCTTAGTGATTGGATGGGTCAGGATGCTGTTCTAATACAGCATCAGTCAGGACCTGTGACTTGTGGTTAGCCACTGGCCTCGGCTCTCTGGTTCTGTAAATAATGGAGTAGGAAGCTTAGCATTTGGTGTCTGCCTGCTACCCACCTATAGGAAAAATCAGAATGGGTAGAAGATAATCTATCCCAATCCAAATTCCACCAGTTCCCAAATAGATGGTCCTTTGGGTTGGGGAGGGTGTCATTTTTCTTGACTAAGATAATTATGTGGAAGCTACAAGTCATTTTCACCTTACTCAGAGATAAACATGCTTAGATTTTGAGAGCATATAATTTTTTTTTTGAAGAGTTTCAAGGCAATTACCCTGAATAACTGGAAAAAGCTGCTCCTAGGCTTTGTGGGTTACTTGAGAAAATTTCCAGTAGCAAGGCTAGATACATCCTTATGGGCTATTGGTCTAGGGGCCCCCAAATCCCCAGAACTATGCAGGTTCTTGCCATTCCCAGTGATTGACCACCAGAACTAGACGATAAGAGACCCTATTGATGAAGACGCCATGCACTTTTCTTGTATGATATAGAGAAACCAAGCTAGAACTGAGCTGGAAGCTTCCTCTCTGCCAGGTAACTTTCATGGTTCCAGAAGATGCTATGTAGGTGGCTGAGGGGGAGAGTATCAGTGGCCTTATCCACCTATGAACCCTGTGAATTATAAGACCATCTACCAGGCAAAATGTGCCCACTTGTGCAATAGTGGCATTACTGGTATGGGGTAACCAACAGCTCTCTTACTAGAATTAAGGCCTGTTCCACAGAAGAGAATAGTACACACCAGGTACTAAAGACCTAATCAAAAACCAGTAGTTGTGGAAGTCAGAGGTGCTGGAGACGAGTAACTGAATACTGTTGCTGAGCTAAATTGGTATAGCTTCGAACTGCCTTCTAAATGTTTGTCTTTACCTATAACAAAAGCTACTCTTAGCCCTAATCAAAGAAGCCTCTTCAATGAACAATGGTAGATACAGAGACTCATAGCTTCTCAAGGTACATGAGAATACATGATGAGCACTGATTCCTAAACGAGACATCTATACTTGCCCCTCGAAGGTTCAGAGAACACTGAAGAAGAGGAGACAGAAAGAGTATAAGATCTAGAAGAGATCAAAAAGGGCTGAGGAATCCCACTTTCCAGGCTAGACACAGCCGTTGCAATCACAAGCTCCTCGCAGCCAGGGATGCATCCACTAAATCTACACAAGAACGGTCCAGGCAGCCAGCAGTCAAACTTGAGTCAGGAGGGTCCTTGAATTCGGAGGGTCCTCCTTCTCACTGATGAACTGTTTGCTAACGTTTGCCATTGATAGCTTCAAAGAGATGGGGCAGTCTTTGTCCTCTGTTATCTACCCACTGGTGGCCCCACCAGACTCCAAAGGATAATTCTAATCCAGGGATCACATAAATGGCCATGGTTGATCTAAATGGGACACCAAACAAAACCAAAAGTTGTGAATCTGGAAAAGGAATAGGTATGGAGGAGGGGGGCGCTGACAAGAACAGAAGGCAATAAGAAAGAGTAGCGGAGGCCAGGCGGTGGTGGCGCACGCCTTTAATCCCAGCACTCGGGAGGCAGAGCCAGGCGGATCTCTGTGAGTTCGAGGCCAGCCTGGGCTACCAAGTGAGTTCTAGAAAAGGTGCAAAGCATCCCGCCCAGCTGATTAACTTTCTAAGGCTGATCACGCTTCCAAATGCTCTCTCCATCCTGGGGAAACGTGGTTATCTACAAGGTAAGAGGAGGAATCACTGTACAGGATTGAAAAGTGGAAGTTTCTGAATGTAGGCCCCGAGCTCCTGGGACTCTCACACCCAGCACATCTTACACCACATGGCTAAGGTTAGGGGATTATTTCCGTTACAAACAAGGTGTTTCTTGGGGGCAGTAAAGTGGGAACAAGAGGGTGATTCTAGAAGCAGACACAGCCACTTAGGAGTTCTCTGTTCTCTACTTCTCTACCTTGACCTTCCTCATAACCCTGAGTCACTCTGGTCTTAGTTTACTTATCTGAACGTTTGGAAAAAGAATAGAACCCATGTCAACAAGTTCTGAAAATATAAAGGGTACGGCACGCCAGAAGCCTACAAGGGCACCTGACACCTAGTAATTGTTTCCTCCGTGTATTTTGATGTTGCCACCAGTTACTTTTAAGTAGCTGTTTCTTCAGGTTCTCTCCTGCATGGGGACCGGAAAAGAACCTGGACCTCCCGAGCTTTCTCGCTGTGGACATCATCAGCTTTCACGGGTTGCTCTCTTTTCATAAGCACTCTTGAGAGGGGAGCACAGAAGGAGTCACTTCTCTCTCACAGAAGACACTGAGACACTTAGGAGCTAACGATGTGCTCAAGGTCACGGGAGGGCCCGTGTCTGAAGATTGAAACCTTGAAGGCTGTTGAACTCTGCTGATAATCTCATCCACAAGAGGAAAATAGTGGTTAGCCCAGCAATTTTGCTCGTCTGCTCGACCACCCCAAAATGCTTTGAGTCATGTGGATGGGCTGTTTCTGGAAGGAAAAAAAAAAATGAGAATGAAGCAAGGGTGCCATGTCGCTGCTTTGGAAGTTGTTGCCTACCCTTTGCCAGTTCAGGAAATTTTTCCTTCCAATGTTCGCTGTTCGGGGCCAAAAGCATGACAACACACAGAAGGTAAAAAAAAAATATTTCAGAAAGGCCGAAAGTAAAGGAGTAGATTATGAAAACTCTTAACTCTTGGGACCATTAGACTCATCGGTTGTTCATTTATAGTCTTTTTGTTTGGTTGGTTTTGGTTTTTGGTTTTTGTTTTGTTTTGTTTAGTTGATTGGTTTTTGGTTTTTTGAGACAGAGTTTCTCTGTGTAACAGCCCTGGCTGTCCTGGAACTTGGAGAGATCCACCTGTCTCTGCCTCCCAGCTCCCGAATGCTGGGAGGCATGCACCACCACGCCAGAAGCCTACAAGGGCACCTGGTACCTAGTAATTGTTTCCTCTGTATATTTTGGTGTTGCCACTAGCTACTTTTAAGAGGTACACCTGCTTCATCTATACCACACCCTGCCTCATTTATATATAGTCTTTTTTTTCATTTTATTTATTTATTTATTTATTTTATTTTATTTTATTTTACAATACAATTCAGTTCTACATATCAGTCACGGATTCCCTTGTTCTCCCCCCTCCCGCCCCCCTCCCCTTCCTCTCAGCCTACCCCCCATTCCCAGCTTCTCCAGGGCAAAGCCTCCCCCGAGGACTGAGATCAACCTGGTAGACTCAGTCCAGGCAGGTCCAGTCCCCTCCTCCCAGGCCGAGCCAAATGTCCCTGTATAAGCCCCAGGTTTCAAACAGCCAACTCATGCAATGAGCACAGGACCCGGTCCCACTGCCTGGATGCCTCCCAAACAGATCAAGCCAATCAACTGTCTCACCCATTCGGAGGGCCTGATCCAGTGTGGACCCCTC